CCATAAAGAAAAAAACAGGCGGCGCACTGAGTATTCCTTTTACACTTTCTCACTAGTTTTCCCAGTCCTGCGATTCCTTGGTTCCCACATCTATGCAGTCTTGTCCGCTGCAGATGCTAGGGCTTGTCAAGGGGCTGGGTTTAAAGCGGCTCAGCACCCCTCGCACGCCCCGGTATCCGCGGCGAACGAACTGTTCGTGCATCGGATAGGGCGCTGTATAGAGCGCGGTTACACTACTTCTAGATTTTCACGATTTCAATGATATTTTTAGGTGGTCACATTGTCCTGCATAGAAAGCAACAACAGAGGTAAAGGAAACAAAAATGAAACTGATGCATACCATCACAATCGCTGCTGTGTCACCGTTGGTGTTAACAAGGAATCTGGGGTTCGAATTCACGAGATCACTAAAAGAAGATGATATAAAAAGCCAATAAAAGGAAATGATCGAGAAAAATTTTGAACAAAACTCACCAGACTGCCTGCACCGATTCTTTTTCTATAGCCCTTTTGAGTTTGTTCATATCGAGGCGACTGACTGATGGATGTGGAATTGTTGGTTCTGATATCAACGTTGGTGTCGCTGGTTGCGGAGGAGGGCTTCGACATTCCCCAGCGGCGAAGAAGTCCATGGCTTCTTTAGGTGTTCCAAAACGGTTGAAACGCGCTCCTGAACTTGAAACATTAGCGACAAGTAAGACACTGCATTCGAATAGTGCTCATTCTATCTGCACTTCTCATTCAACATCCATCAGTTGCTGAGAGTTCAAAGATCACAAGAATTTTATGTCAATTTCCTTTAAGAGTATTTCATACGTTACTCATAACTATTTACGGTCGCAGACCGCTATTTGTTTCTTTGAATTCATTTCCCGGTGAAAGCGCTTACATCCTTGTTCGCTGTGAATGCTGGGGAATGTCACGGCGCTGGGTGTGGGGAGGCGTTAGCCTGTTTCTCACCAGTTGTTGTCGCTTATCCCGCTTGACAATTGGTGGAGAATGGTCTGGCGCCACGCCACAGATCCCCTCAGCGAACAACACTGTAAC